AGTAATTCGTATGTATCTAGGAATCTTTTTATTCTGTTTTCCATCTTATTAGAACATAGGTTCTCAAAGGTAGGTATTGATGATCTTGGATTTCTGGAGGATCTGTTGTGATTTCACCCTTTTTATTCCTAGCTGCATGGATTTGAATCTTTCTTTTATATAAAGTTGGCTAAGGGTTTATCAATTTTATTCATTCTTTCAAAGAACTACCTCTTTGATTCATTGGTTCTTTGTATTGTTTTCTTAGTCCCCATGGCATTAATTTCTGCTCTAATTTTTCTTGGGGGGGTCCTGGGAATCGAGCTTGGGACCTTGTGCTTTCAAGGTAGGCATTGGCACCACTGAGCTAAATCCCTGGCCCTGCTCTGATCTTTATAATTTCCTCTCTCATATGAGCTTTGGGCTTGACTTGTTCTTCTTTTGCTAGAAGCTTGAGGTTTGATTGAGCTTGCTGTTTTTCTGGTATGGAAATTCACTGCTATAAATTTCATTTATAGAATTACTTTTATTGTGTCCCATAAGTTCCGGAATGTTGAATTGGCATTATCATTTAATTGTACAAACTAATTTCTTCTTTAATTTCATCTGTGGCCCATTGGTTGCTCAGGTGAATGTTATTTATTTAGTTAGTTTTGAGACATGCTATGCAGTTCAGGCTGGCCTTGAATTCATTATGTAGCCCAGGCTGGCCTTGAACTCATGATGATCCTCCTGCCTCAGTCTCCCAAGTACTGGGATTACAGGTGTGTGCCACAATGCTCAGCAAGAGGTGTTATTTAATTTTCATGTGTTTATGAAGTTCTTGTGATTTCATTTGCCATTGATTTCCAATTTTATTGCACTATGTTCTGATAATATGCATGGATGATTTCAACTTCTTTGTGTTTAAGTATGTTCTGAGTGAGTAAATGGTCTATTTTGGAGAATGTTTCATGTACAGCTGAGAAGAATGTGTATTTTGATATTGCAGGGTGGAACACCCTGTAGATAGCTACTAAGTCCATTTGTTCAAAAGTTTGGTTCAGTTCTGAAATTCTTTGTTGATTTTTTGTCTAGTTGATCTATTTGTGACAGTGGGGTGTTGAGGTCCCCTATTATGTTTTTTGTTTTTTTGAGTCAGGGTCTCACTACGTAGTTGAGACTGATCTGGAATTCACTATGTAGCCCAGGCCGATTTCAAACTCAGTGATCCTCCTGCCTCAGCCTCCCAAGTGCTGAAATTACAGGCATGCACCACCACACCCGGCTAGAGGTCCCCTATTATGATTGTGTTAGTACTTGTTTTATTTTTCATGTCTGTTAATATTTGTTTTACTTTAGGTATGCTGCTGTTTGGTGCACATATATTTAGGATTGTTATCTCTTCCTCTTGGATTGTTCCTTTTATAAGGATGCTGTGACCTCTTCGCCTCTCTTAATCAGTCTTGGCTTAAAATCCACTTTGTAAGTTGAATGGCTACTCCTGCTTTTTTTCTCAGATCCTGTCACATGGAATATTGTTTTCTGTCCTCTGACTTTCAGTCTGTGAATTTCTTTTTGAATGAAATGTGTTTCTTGTGTGCAGCATGTTGTTGGATCTTGCTTCTTGATCCATTCTGACAGTCTGTTCGTTTTGATTGTTGAATTGCGACCATTTACATTGACGTTATCACTGATATGTATGGACTTACCCCAGTCATGTTATTTTCCTGTCCTTGGTTCCCTTTTGTTCCTCTCTCTCTGTTTGTTTCAGTACTGGGGATTGAACTCAGGACCCTGCACTTGTGAGGCAGGCACATTGCCACTGAGCTGCATCCCTGGCCCTTTTTCTCCGTTTAATTGCTTGACTTGCCTGGTAGACTCATTCTGTTGGGGCTCGTGGAGTTGTGATCCTTACTGTCTGTCTAGACTGTCCTTCAGAGTATTTTGGAGCGCTGGTTTGGTGGTCATGAATTTCTTCAGGTGCTCTTTGTCAAGGAAGCATCTTATTTCTCCATCAATTTTGAAAGATAGTTTTGTGGGGTACAGCGATCTGAGTTGGAGGTAGTTTTCTTTTAGTGCTTGAAATACTTCACTCCAAGCTGTTCTTGACTTGAGGATTTGTGTTGAGAGGTCTGCTGTGACTCTTATGTGCTTTTCTTAATAGGAGATTTGTTAAATTTTTCTAACAGCTTTTAATACTCTGCCCTTGAACTGAATTTATGGAATCTTGACTATTACATGCCTTGGGGAAGATTTTTTCTTTTATCACAGCTAATTGGAGTCCTATATGTCCCACTAACCTGTATGTCAAATTCTTTTTTCCTGATTGGGAAGTTTTCTGCCATTTCTTCTGTGAACAGGCTTTTTACAAACATTTATTTTTTGCTGGGCGTGGTGGCGCACACCTGTAATCTCAGCACTCGGGAGGTTGAGGCAGGAGGATCGCTGTGAGTTCGAGACCAGCCTGAGCTACATAGTGAGTTCCAGGTCAGTCTCAACTACATAATGTGACCCTGTCTCAAAAAACCAAAACAACAACATTTATTTTCTATGTCATTTGCACTATCTCTTGCTTTTCCATTGACTCTGATCAATCTTATCTTATTCTTTTTTGCATTAGCTAGCAGCTGTTTCTTTGCTATTTTAAAAAAATGTTTTTCTTGGATGCTACCCACAGTTCTGTCTACTATATTTGATATTCTGCCCTCACAGTGGCTCATTTTGCTGCTGTGTATACTTTCAATGGAATTTGGTTTTTTAAAAAAATTTTTTTTTGGTACCAGAGATCGAACTCCAGTCCTTGAGCTTGCGAGGCAGGCGGTGGAACCACTGAGCTACATCCCCTGGCCCTTGATAGAATTTTTAATCTCCTGGAAATGTTTTAATCTGTTTCATGCTTTCCATTTCTTTTCTCTGTTGGATGTTCATGGTTTTTATCATTTTCCCGTGCTCCTCTATTTTACTTTTTTATCTGTAGCTGCTCGAGAGTCACTAACCACCATCTTTCATTATGGTCACCACCTCTGTAGTTATCCAAGAAAGCATTTCTGCTTTGATTTTTTTTTTAATTCCCCCTCTTCCCCGCTGGGTTTGCCTTTGGAGAGATTAATGTCTTGGGGGGGGGCTGCATCTTGCTCAAGTGTCTTCTCATTTTCTATTTTTTTAAAAGTTTAATTCCTGGGTTGAGGCTTGTAAACTGCTTATGGAAAGTAGCTTTATTGCTAGTATTTGGAACCCTCAGGAAATGACTACTTCTCAGAGAGGTCTTCTTGGCCGCTTCCTGGAGAGGCCGATGGAGGACAGGGCCCGGGCCTGTCGGGGTCCTGCTGTGCCCAGCCTGGCGGTAGGATGCACGGGCTCCTCGGCCGACAGACACCGCCCTTCCTCAGTGTTCTGGGGCTCATGGGGCTGGGCTGTGGGGCTGTGCAGGGAGACCAGAGCCCAACCCTGCCACTTCGGGCCACTCACCAGGCTGCCGTCCTGGTGACCCCGACGAGACAGCTCGGGGACAGCAGGGCGTGGGGACCTCGCTGTGTGACAAGGGCTGCGGGACGGCTGTGGCAATGGGGCTGGTGCGCAGCCACAGCGAGGACCTGGGGGGTGCCGAGGACCCCGTGTGCAAACCACAGGTCTTGTAGTGCCAGGTGTGAGCCCCACCCCGGGGACGACGTTTCTGTACCTCACACAGGGCTGCGCGCTGGCCTGATACTGCCCGAGAAAGGTCTGAGCGAAGTGGGCCGGGCTTTCGTACTTAACATCCGCATTCTTCCCACCCTCCCCTTCCCCCGTCCATCTCTGTCCCTTCCCCTTCACAGGCGTCCCTCTCCCCGTTGCCTGTTCTGTTACTTTGCTCTAATTTATTCGTGCTTTGTGTTTCTCGTGTAAGAGCAGCCATTTGCTGTCGAAGCTCGTGGGTCTGTTTGTTTCACTTCACATCAGGGCCTCACGCTGCATCCGTTCTCCACACGACTGGAGCCCGTCCTTCTTCACAGCACAGTAGTACTCCGCCATGTTCTGCAGCAGGGAGCAAGCTCGGTGAACTTCCACGCAGATGGTGGGGACTGCAGGCTAAGGTGTCTCCTCCGTCACCTGTGGTGGCAGTGGACACGTGCGCTTGCTGTGAACGGACAGGTGTGAGCCCTACAAAGAGGCTCTGGAAGCCTGTGAGAGGTCGGGTTCTTTACTCTCTAGGGAACCAAAGCCTGGAGCAAGTACTTCATCTCCTGCAGAAGTTAAACCTTAGACGCATCGCCTGTCAGAGCCCGCTCCTCAGCAGCCGCCTTCTCGCAGACCTGGGACGCCTCATCGCGCACTGCCTCCCTCCAGTGAGCCCCTGCTGCTCCCAGGGCCCAGGTGACTAACCTGAGGGACACAAGGAGACGCCTCATGGCTTCAGCTTGTCAGAAACTTGTGCAGACAACCTTTTGGCAGCAGTGATTTACAGGCCGCACGGGCAGGAGCCGGTTCCCAGCAGCACCGCTGGGCTGGGGACGCACAGAGAAAAGGCAGCAAGGTGTTCGTGCAAAGTGTGTTTAATGGCCATCCCACCAAGACCAGCAGAGTCACACAGAGAAAGGGTTACGTGTGCACATCACGTGAGTCTTTAAGGTGCATTTGTGAGTTTATTTGGGCTTCGCTCCCCAGGCTGGCAGCGCTTGGAGCATGGGAGGAAGGCGCGGTCCCACCCCACCTCGTGTCTCAGATACAAACTCTACGGCTGTGTCGACTCACAAGACGATACCAGCCAAGAAACACATTTCCAGCTAAAAGGCAGGTGCTCGGTTCTTGGGAACAGCCACACAATAGCCGGTGAGAGTCAGAGCACCCTGTGGCTCTACAACCTGGAGAACCTCGGAGCCGGGCCCAGTCTTGGAGACACAGCTGGGGCTGAGGTTAGACACACTGAGCTCCTTCTCCCACCGGAGATGAAACCCAGCACCTCCTGGGCAGCCTGGGGCAGGCCTGGGGCTCCCCTCCCAGGCGGAGGCAGTGGCTTCTGGGCCTGGGCTGCCTGCAGGGAGTGCAAGCCGCACAGCTGTGGTCCATCGTGCGGGCGGACTGGGCTCGGCTCGGCCAGGGTGATGGCGGCCCGCGGGTGCTGCTTGGGAGTCCACCGCGAGGATCTGATCAAGCGGCTGTGGAGCGCAGTGGCGCCCTGCAGGAAAGCACAGTGTGTGGGGACCTGCGCTCACACCGACACTCGCGTCTTTGCTTTTGGTTCCAGGGATCGAACTCAGGGCCCTCGCTTGTGAGCAGGTGTGGTGCTGCTGACCCACTTCCTGGGCCCTCGCTTAACAGGAGGAGGCCCGCTCGGCTCAGGGACGTGGCCACGGGCTGGCCCGACACAGAAAGGCAGGGCACGGTGTGGGCACCACCGCGGCCCGTGTGTGGGGCATGGGCCTGTGCAGGACTTGTCCACTGACCCCAGACATGGTCTGCTCGGCTTCCCATCTGCGGGCAGCTGCGCAGTCTCCTGCAGGGCAGGCCAGGAGTCCGGCAAGCAAGGTCACCTGGGGCTGGGGACACAGGTGCCAAGCCAGGCTCCGGCTGGGGTGCCCTGGAGGGAGAGGTGCAGGGGCGGTCTGGACCACCAGCTGGGTTCACAGGCCTCAGTGTGGATCTTGCGGTAAAGATACTCAGAACCAGGCCTACCCCACAACTCCAGGCCCTGTAGTCAAATAACTTCACTTATTTACTTACCTTCAGAAGGGTAACGGGAATGACTGGGCAAAACTGCTTTTATTTATTTATTTATTTATTTATTTATTTTACTTTTTTTGCAATACTAGGGATTAAACCCGGGGCCTTCATATTGAGCTACATCTCAGTTCTTTTTAAGTCAGTAGACTGCCCAGGCTGGTCTAGAAACTGCACTCCTCCTGCCTCAGCCTCCAAGGGTGCTGGGATGACAGGCGTGCACCACTGCACCTGGCTGATGTTGGTTTCTCAGCTGTGTGCTCAGCTGACCTAGCTGCAATGTCGCCGTGTCTGGAAGTCAGACAGGTAAGTGACACGCACCCTGAGGGGCCTTTGGGTGTTGGACTCGCCAAGACCACGCTGCCTGTGTTGGCTCCCACAGCCCCGGGCCAGTGCCGGGGATGTCAGGGACCGTGTGGGGTGTCTGGGCGCCTGTGGGGAGGGGAGGATGGGCCAGGCCGGCCGTCTATGGCTCTGGCAGGTGAGGAAGGCGGATGTTGGGGTGCAGGAGCTGCTCGGGTGACGCTGTCCATGGAGTGGGACCGCTTCTCCTTCCTCTCTAGGGAGTAAAGGAGTGAGGCCCGGACAACCTCAGCAAGCAGACTGAGCTGTCAGCATTCAGCTCTTCAGAGTCTCACGGTTCACAATGCAACCAAATTCTAATTTAAAAACGCAAAATGAAGTTGAAAATAATTGCTCTAGGGATATCCAGAGGCAGAAGCAGGAGGAGGCAGTGTGACTGCTACTGGTGACCTGAGGGGCTGTTGTCACTCAGCTGGGCTGACACAGCACGTGTCTTGAGGTGTTTGGTGACCAGATGCCTCTGGCCTCTGGCCCTGACACCTTTTATTTCTTTTTTGCCTGGTATTTTGTTGTTGTTGCTTTGAGAAAGGGTCTCACTGTGTAGCTCCCGCTGGCCTTGAACTCACTGTGTAGCCCTGTCTAGCCTTAAACTTGTGGCAGTCCTCCTGCCTCAGCCTCTGAGTGCTGGGATGACAGGTGTGGGCCATGATGCCCAGCATGGGTCCATTATTTTAGAGAACTATTTCTCCTGGTCAGTGTGGGGGTTTCCTATGAGATTCAGAGGAAAGACACACACACACACACAAGCACTTAAAAACCTCACCTACTTTTGAATAATAAGGAAGTAGAGTGAAAGGCGAAATGCTTCTGCAAACACAGCCTTGACATAAGTTGGCAGGTCTCCACGGGGCCTTCTGTGACCCTACAATACTAACCCCAAGCCCTTCTCCAATGTAGTAATCTTAGGCGGAGGGGTTCTGAAAACAGTGCCTGTGGTTAACTCAGGAAGCGGCAGTGGGGAGCTTCATTCCTGGCCTGGGAGACTTCAGAAAGCTCCCTCCCTCCCTCCCTCCCTCCCTGGACTAGAGCTTGAATCCAACATCTCACATATTAGGCAGCTGCTCTACTGCTGAGCTTCACGCCTAGCTCTTTTTAAAGATATTTTAAGTCAGGTCTGGGTGGCTCCTGGTGGCCTTGACCTCCTGATCCTCCTGGCTCTGCTTCAGGTGCCCTCGACTAAGCCCCCATGTTTGTGGTACTGGGAATTGAACCCAGGGCCTACACACTGAGCTACAGCCAGAGCCCATTTGGATTTTTTTATTCGACACAGCGTCCACTCAGTTGTTAAGATTCCCCGTGCTGGGCTTGAACTTGTGATCTTCTTGCCTCAGCCTCCTGAGTGCTGGGGTGACAGGTGCGCACCCTGCTTTCCCAACCTGTTTCAACTCTGAAGGAATCTGTCCTGTGTGTGCGTGGTGCGGCCTCCGTGCTGTTGGGGTCTGGCCCGAGTGGGAGCCACAGGTTTTGGGAGGCCGTGATGGTCATGCAGCTTGCGTCCTTGGGCAGCACGTGGCCAGCACTCCTGCCTGGGGCCCCCCGCCTCCTCTGCCCTGGCTGTGTGGACGCAGCCTGCCACACTGACACCTCAGCTGTCCTGTGTCTGCTCGGAGCTCAGCCTGGGCCCTCCTCACCCCGCACCCAGGATGGGGGTGCAGCCCGGCACGTGGCCCTGGAGGCCGGGCACTGGGGGGAGCTGAGGCCGGCGTGGACAGCACAGTGAATTCCGGGGCAGCATGGGTCACACACCAAGACCCTGACTTAAAAACCCAAAGGAAAGGAACACCAGGAGAGACCAGGGCGCAGTGGGTGGGCAGGGAGGTTTGTTTTCAGGGTGCAGTGTGGGAGTCTCTTGGACTCGCCCTGCAGGCTGGGGCTGCTCTGCTCTGCATGGAGGGTGCTGGCCTCTCTCCCAAGAGCCGTTGCCCACGGTTCCCTCCCTCTGGCCACAGTGGGGTGGGGCCACCCTGGTGCGGGAGGGTCACTTGCGGTCCCCTGAGACTCAGGGCCTGGGCCACAGAGGAAGCTGTGAGGGCCCCTGCCCAGCAGTGCCTGGCTGAGTAGTGGACAACTTTCCTGGAGTGGGATGGGGACCGGTGTCCGTAGTCACCACTGAGGGCTATTGTGATGCCATGAGCTTCTCAGGTGAACTTGGGTTCTGCCCATGCCCATGGGGCCCGCTCTCCTGCCCGATCCAGCCCTCGCATAACTGGGTTTAGCAAAGAGGGGTGTGGTGGTGCACACCTGCACCCCAGCGCTCAGGAGACTGAGGCAGGAGGGCCACTGCGCTACAAGCAAGTTCACGATCAGCTGAACTACACAGCAAGACCCTGTCTCAAAGACAAACACCATGGGTTCATGGGCTTGTTCATCCAGTTCCCTGGCAGATCCTCAAGGCCCACATTTCTACGTCTGTGCCCTCAGCCCTGGTGCCTGTGGTGCCTGCGTTAGAGAGGCTCTCGGCAAATCTCTGCCGAAATAGCAGTGAGGGTGCCGGACTGTGAAGGCGCCACCCACCGCACCAGTGGCCCCTGAGTTCGCTCGGCGCCGCCCCCTGGCCGGACACCAGTCGGACCAGGTCCTCTTGCACACAGGGAGATGAGTTTCTGAACTCTGGTGCTGCCTGCTGTGCCGGCTTCTGAGTGGCCCTGAAACTTCCCCCAGCTGCTGGCTGGGGCGGGTGGGGCCTCACCCATTCCCTTGCAGGCTCTTTGAGCTAAGCCTCGCTCTGTGTGCTCCAGGAAGGGTGCAGAGGCCCTGGAAGCGAGCGCCCCGCAGGGCTGGGCACGGCTGTGACCCCACCACTCAGGGCTCCTCAGAAGGCCTGGCTCTATCCCTGGAGCAGAGCTAGTGGGCCAGCCGGGGTGCAGGGACCTCCGAGTCCCCTGTGGGCCCCTCATCAGGGCTCTGAGAAGGGCTGGGAAGCGGTGTTGGGGCAGCATTGGGGACGGAACCTGGGCCCTCACTGAGCTACAGCCCAGCCCAGGTTTGTATTTTGAGACAGGGCCTCGCTACGTTGCTCAGGCTGGGCTTGAACTGGCTGTCCTGCCTCAGCCTCCCCATGAGCCCCACGCCCAGCTGGGGACAGCACCTCATGCTCCCCATGCCTGTGAGTGTCCGGCCTCAGGCGCTGCTCTGGCGGCTGCTGATGAGACAGCGAGCAGGGGTTTGATCTGAGCAAGATGCAGCCCGCAGGCTCCGCATCCTGAGGACAGGTGCAGCGGCTGTGCCATGGCTTCAGGGCCCTGTGTCATGCAGAGACACTGGTGGGCACAGAAGAGCCTGTGCTATGCTGTGCTCCCTGGGCCAGCCCCTTACTCAGGGATCGGCACTCACGCTGCATCCTCTGAGGGATGGTCGTCGCCTGGCGAGCCGGGGAATTGGCCTGTGGACATGCTCTCCAGCTGGGTCGCTATGGCACCGATGTTGGTGTCGGCCATGACCTGGGGACAGAAGGAGGTGTCGTGAGAGCCGCAGGCGATGCCCAGCGCTCATGCTGAGCCCGGCTCACCCAGTGCTGGGGACGCGTGGGGGATTCTCTCAGCCTGTCCTTCATGTGGCTCCCAGGACGCCACTCACCTCCTCACCCTCTGGCCGTCCCCTACCTCACTGTCCAAGGGACACAGGGCTCAGTCTGCAGCTTTGCACCGTTCAACTAAATGTCTTCCCTCAGTTACCTCAGGAGTCGGAAGACGACCTAAGGACGGTGACTCCCCAGGCGCCATCTCCCTCTTCCTCAGTTACCTCAGGAGCTGGGCATGCACCTAAGCGTGAAGACTCTGGACTGATCTCCACCTCCCACCCAACTCCAAGCCCAAGTGTCCGCCTCCCTCCCTGGCTCCTCTTGGGGTGTCTGTCAGTACCCCAAATCCACCCTCCATCTTTGGCACACCGTGCTGTCACCCAGGCCTTCGCTTCTCTCAGGGTCCTGTCCCCCCTCACTGGGGTCTGTAGGTTCCGTCACTGTCACCAAGCCACTCCCTTCCTGGTCCCCTGGCGCGGGGCTCAGTCCTGTCCAACACAGCGGATGCTTTGGCTCCGAGCTGTCCCTGCTGTGACCACATGGCTGAACACTGGCCCCTGCCCCACTGTCCTCCCTGTGTCTGAGGCCCTGGCTCATTCAGGTGGCACTGGGGCGTGCATGTGCACCACGAGTGCCTTTCCTCAGGTCCATCCCTGCCTGGCTCCTGTTCACTGTCGCATGTAAGACCTGTCACCGTCTGCCTTCTCTACCCCTTGTAGGCGTCTCTCCCTGCTCCTGTCTGTCTTCATGGTGAAAGGACTTGCGGGGAAAATGAGCCCGCGTGAAACCTTCTTGAGCAAGGACTGCGGGACAGAACCTCCAGAATCCCTGCAGCAGAGCAGGGCTGACGGGCCCTGGAGAGAGGCCCCAGTGGAGATACAAGGTCTGCCAGGGAGGCGGTGCTGTGGCTCAGGATGGAACTTGGGGCCAGCTTGGGACGCGGTGGTCTCTTGGCCTGGTGGAGCTGGGTGTACAGTCCCTGAATGTGACCCAGGACAGCCGAGGGATGGGCAGACAGTGGCCTTCTGAGATGCCAGCTGCCCACCCTCTCCCCAGCGGATTCACCTGACACAGCAGGGCCAGGACACAGGCTGAACACTCACGCCATGTGCTCTTCCAGGTTCCCAGAGCCGCCACGCAAGCCGGCTGCAGAGGGAAGGGGCTCCCTGATGGACAGGACTTTGCTGTGCAGTCCTGTCCTCTTCCGTCACTTCCTTCTCTTGGTACTGGGGGAACAGCCCAGGGCCCCTGCACTGCCTAGAATCTTGTGCTTATTATTTCCTATATAGAAAAAAGCCCCTGTCCTTCCTGTACAGCCTGGGATGTGCCCTGTGGCAGAGACTCAGCAGGGTGCTAGACAGAGTTGCAGAGCCCAGCCTGGCTGTGGGGAACTTAAGGACGCGGGCTGCTGTGGTCTTGGCAACTTCCCTGATTTTTGTCTTCTAGGAAAAGGCAAAGTTTCAGCAAAACAGAAATCAGACAAACAGTGGACATGGCGCCACCTAGTGGGAGCAATGGCACGCGTCTCCCAGAAACAGCCCCACAGGAAGGCAGGGAGGGCCCGGTGCCCCTTCACCAGGTCTTGGTGCCATGGCCCGTTCTGATGCAGCTGCGCGGGGCCCTTCCACCAGCCCTGACTGTCAGGTCTCTGCTCTCCGTGGCCTTCTGGTCCCTGACCCCTTGTCCTGTCCCCACATCACCACTCCCCAGGCCACAACCAACTAGCCCTGCCCATGCCCGTGGCCCCCGGAGAGGGCCTTGGGCCTGTGATGTGGGGCTGCGCCCTTGTGTCCCGGCAGCTGGGCTGCCTGTCTCTGCTGCCGTGCTCTGGGGCACACGTGCTGCCCGGTCCACCTTAGGGCTCAGGGCCTTCAGGGAGGGCCTGGCCCAACCCAGTGCACCGGGCAGCCTTGGCTTGGCTTGGCCAGAGGGGTAGATGGCCCCGCCCTGAGGGAGTGCCTGTCTCAGAGCAGAGTGAGCAGCACCAGCACAGTGCAGAGCCAACAGCATCCTGGCAACAGGGTATCCTGGGTGTCGACGCCAAGGCAGAAGCTCTGCCCTGCTTAGCCCTTGGGACTGGGCTCTGGGTTCTCTTCTAGTCCCGCCCCCAAATATTTCTGCGTGTGCACTCTAAAAGATTGGAAAGTATTGCACAAGCTCAAAGACTCCAACACTCACTCTCTGGAGACACAGTGAACTTTTCTTCTACAGGAATGAGCTAGATAATATGCTCAGATGCCTATCTTGAAGCTTTTTTTTCTTTGTAGTACTGGGGTTGAACCCAGGGCCTTTGCACTGACACCCCCACCCCTTGCTTTAGATAGGGTCTCACTAAATTACTAAGTGGCCCAGACTGGGTTTAAACTTTCAGTCCTCCTACCTCAGCCTCCCAGAATTCAGGGATTATAGGTGTGACTCACCAGGCCTGGCTTGAAATTTATCAACTTGATTGTTACTGCCTCCCTGCTGCAACAGATGAAAATTTAGTATACCAAAGCCTTTCACGTAGCTTTGTTTTCTCTGCCGTGCTGGGCTTTTACTGAGCTCCAGCACTGGGCTCCTGGTTTCCCCTCTCTCACTGTGCTCACTTGCTGGAGTGGATCCTGAAGTAGTTTTCTCAGGAAGACACTGATGAAAAGGTGAGGTGCCATTTGGATCTCTTGTTCTTTTGTAGGTAAGGTATACGTTGGCTTTGAGGTCTTAAAATGTATCATTCTTGCATTATTTATCCTGGTCATAACTGGCCTTTAAATTTCTTTCAGTTGTACGTTTTTATCACACTGCTTCTGTTCGCATTTCTGATCTGTTGGATATCTATCAGTTCTCCCGGCTTAGTCTCGTCTTACCCTGTCCCTTTTGTGCAGGGCTGGGTACAAACCCAGGGCCTTGTGTTGTGCTGTGTGGTGGGTAAGGACCTGGCCTGGGCCACAGCTGCAGCTGCTCCACCTGCCGCTTCAGGGGGAGTCTCCTCTCCACCTCGGCAGCGGGCCTCCGGCGTCAGCTCTGCGAGCCCTGCAGGCCTTGTGAAGCAATCCCGCCCCCTGCAGATAGAGGCTCCCTTGGGATCTGCTCCTGACTGACTCTCTCACCTGCCCTGCAGGAGCACGCTCTGTGGACGCCTGCACTTTTGGGGATGCCCAGGCCCCCAGGAGAGGTGTGGCGGCTCTGCTACTCCAGACAATGCTCAGGACCACAGCCACTCCCTCTGCCTCCCTGGGGACAGCTCTGCACGAGGCTCTGATGGTGCCCGCAGTCCCTGTGCTGCAGAGAGCAGGAGGAAACAGCTGTGGCCCAAGGAGAGGGGAACGTGCCCTCCACGCAACCACTATTCATAGAACCACGCGTGAGCGGGAGGCCTCCCGACTTTCCCGGGCTCTCGTTCGGCCCGTGTGGGCGACACTGAGGACGTCAGGACAGCTAGCTGTGGGTCTGCCTAGGTCATAGCAGCAGGCAGCCCGCAGGGAGGCGCTGTGCAGTGTGGGATGGGACGTACCTGCAGGACGATGCGGCCCACGGCGTTCTTCAGCAGCGCCACGGCGTCGGCGTGCGCCAGCCCATCCAGAGGCTGCCCGTTGATGCTGACGATGCGGTCTCCAACCTGGGAGGAAGCTGCTGTCATTAGCACAAACGCCACACGCCCGGCTCCTCGGCACCAGGCTTTTCCCTCGCTGGCTTCCTAGGTGGGTGGCCGGGCGCCCCGAATCCGCTGGCCAGGACAGCCGGGAGCGGGCAACCTGTCAGGGAAGCTGTGCCCAGGACACCCATTGTTTCCTGATGTACTTTTCTGCCTCAGTTAAGATGACGGCGAAACTCAAACTTTACGGGGCTTGGGACAGCTGTATGTCCGCCCTGCGCTGGGAGGCAGGGAAGCCGTGGGAGCTTCAGGTGTGACGCTTCCCTGGGCGCAGGCCTGGCGGGCTCTGGGTTTGGGCTGAGCAGGGGCCCGGCTGCACCCCAAGCGCCATGCGGCTGCCCGCTTACTTTCAGCCTCTGTGTCCGTGCCGCCGCCCCGCTGGCCTGGACCATGGCGATGAAGACCGGGACGTCGCCCAGGGGGCTGCCTCTGCCCCCGGCAATGCTGATCCCCAGCGGGTCGCCAGGCCCCTGAGGAGACAGCGGGGGTCAGGAACTCGGGGCTGACGGAGGGAAGGGAGCCGCGAAGAGAAGCTGCCATCCCGGGAAGGTGCTGCCGGGCCCTCCTCCCTCCACGGCCGTCCTCCCAGCCCCACGTCTCTCTCGCCCATTTCTGCTGCCCACTTCCTCCAGTGACTCGAAGGCGAGCTCACGCCCAACAGATCTCGTTGCAGGAAACACGAGTTTTCTGCAAACCCAGTTGCACACAGGACAGAGGCGGCGGAACCACAACTTACTCTGAGGATCTCCACCGTCCTGGGCTCCGAGTCTGCGCCTGTGAAGGAAGCCGTGGATGTAAGGGCACCCAGCTCGGGACAGCCTTCCTGAGTTCCTGCCGTCAGGGGTCACCAGCGGGCAGCACGGCATCCTCTGAGAGGGACGCAGCCCTGATCGCATGGGCCCAGCCACGCAGAGCTCAGGGGCCGTGGTTTGCACTTTGTGTTACCGGCCTCTGCCCTGCGCAAAGCCAGCCTCTCCCAGCAAAAGGCTCTCAAAGGCCCTGTCCCGCCTAGCTCAGGGACACGACCTGACGCTTCTTCCCTGCCTCCCTCTGTCCCCCAGGGCTGGGCACAGAGCCCAGCCAGACAAGCTTAGCTTCCGTCACCCCTGCCGTGGTCCCTGGAGGCTGCTGTGACCTGACCCCTGACCTGTGAAGGGTGCCCCTCCCTCCCAAGCAGGCCTTTCAGGAAGAGGCCTGAGCTTAGCGGACACAAAGATTTAAAGCCATCTGAGTGAAAGGGGACAGTGTGTGTGTTCTGCTGGGCGCGTCCCGGGTACCTGGGCTCTGTTGTGAAGGGCCTGCTCTCCACGCTCCGACCAGGCTCTGCAGGCTGGTGAGGACCGGGGCCAAGGTGGGTGCACAGCTGCCAGGTGTGCCGCGAGGGTCCCCCTGGAAGGCAGGGCCGGCGGTCACTGTGCGCAGCCCACGCGGGCCCCAGAATCATGCTGTCCGGGGTTGCCTGGTGCTGGGGTCCCTGGCACCCCACGGAAGGTGCTGGAGAGGCCGAGGATGGAACCCCAGACAGGCAGATGCCTCTGCCCATCTGAACCCAGTGCCCCTGCCGTTCAGGGACAAGGGCACCATTGGGCTGTGCATCCCCTCCCGGGTGGCCGCGTGGCACTGGCCGTGGCAGTCAAGATAATGTGTTCCCTGCTCAGCACCCACACCACAGCGAGCACACATTTTGCTAAGATGAGCATAAAACATCTCGATCGACAGCAACTGGATCCTCAACTGTGGGAGAAGGCAGCAAGCATGAGGGGGAAACGGCTTCTTTGGGGATGTATTGCTCTTTATTCCCAAGAGTTCTCGAGTCAGTAATAATCTAATCCGGGGTGCTGTACCCATCAGCTGACCCTCCACTCATCTGTCCACCACGTGTGTGTCTGTGGCGCGTGGCCACTGGCGACGCTTCTGTACACAGGGAATCCCCTCTACCGCGGGCAGCGCCACCAAGGGTGAACATGTCCTCCACATGACCAAAGTTATGCCTAACTGCTTTTAAATGTGAAGCTAAGCCTAAGACCACTGTTACTACTTACGTTTCACTTTAATCCATTTCTTTAAGTCTGTGCCCTGGGTTTTGTATTTTAACTTTCCTTAAAAACTCTATTAATCTCTTCCCCTTTTTTGTGGTGCTAGGGATCAATTCGGGGAGTACACAGGCTGAGCAAGGTCTCTCCCGAGGAGCTGCGTCCTCAGCTGGGAGATTTCAGATACGCAGTACAGCTGAAGAACTTTAGAGACCATACACACTGCACAGACCCGCAGTGAAAATGGCTACATTGTGTTTATCACAGCCATTCATTAATCAGTGCGTCTGTTCTTTACGGATGTGTTTTGATGAAAATCATAGGCATCGATACACTTCAGGATGCATGCGCCATTTAAGAGTGTTTGAATGTTTTTCCTGACAGGATGGATTGAAAACGGTGCTGTAAAAGCTGCTCAGAGGGAAGAGGTGCAGTGTGTTGTAGTTTGGCCTAGAAGAACCTGCAGGCAGCGCTTGTGTGACTGTCCTGGAGGGTCCTGGGTCTCCTCCAAGGCACACTTTGCTCTCTGGCTGCTGGGGAGATGCTGGGGGCCCCCAGCCTCGAGTGCTCCCTGATCAAACCCACTCCTGGTGGTGTCAGTGAGCTACGGCCTCCTCTGTCCCCACTCTTGCCCTGGCCAGGAGGAGTCCAGCCACACGGGGACCTGTCCTCATTCAGCACAGACTCTCGTGTTCAGCTGTAGTGTTAAGAACAGGCTGATGAAGCAACAGATTTATTTATCTGAAAATGGAACTAAACTTCTAGCCTAGGAAATGAGCCCTTTGTGAGGAGAGCACCTGCTCTGGGCCAGGTCGTGGCCACACTGCTGCTACCTGCGCTCACCGCTGGCCTCCCGGAGCTGCCAGTACCAACCTCCCCGGCTTGGTGGCCACAGTGGTGCCCACAGAGCAAGCTGCTCTGCAGTCAGCTCCTCCAGGCCCCGCAATGCTCTGGAGTCATGCACAAGAGCGAGGTCCCCCACCCCAGGAAGATGGCTCCAGGAGCCGCCCCCCGTGGGTCCCAGGCTGGCACCCTAACTTGGCACAGCCGTTGCCACCTGTCACGGACTTCACAAATGAAACAAGGAGGGAAGGGCGCCAACCTGGCTGTGCCGCGACGTCCTCCGGGAGCTCCAGGCGCCGGCGCGGAACCGCCCGACCTCCAGCTGCACCAGGCCCTGCGTGCACTGCGGAGACAGAAGCCCAGTGAGGGGCGCCCGGGGCTTGGGTCGGGTCAGGGCCGGCTCAGGCCCCGCTGCCTCCTGGCTTCTCGGGAAGGTGTTCGTGATGGGGAGAAAGCCGCGGGAGAAGGGGACCAGCAGCCCTGTCCTCCAGACTGAAGGTGAGG